GATTTCTTTCAACGATACGTCAAAAGATCACAAATTGTATCTAGTCGAAGACATTACCCTTCAAAATTGAAAAAATTTCCCTCGTTCCCCGTAAATGGGGGAAACCTCCAAAAAAATTACAAATTTAAAAATCGCTAATTTTCGAAATTTTTTCAATTTTTTTTACTAAAAAGTGCCGTAACTTTTTCAAAAANAAAACTGCCATAACTTTTTTAAAAATGAACATATCAATATAATTTTTTTTTATATAGATGCTTGATGTCTTTACCTATCATTTGGTATATTTTTTTTGTAAATCTGACACTTAACCTGCCCACAGGGGGGGATTTAAAATGACAACTTTTTCNTTAACCCTTTACTAGCCCACAGTAGGGGTTTCAAAATGACAACTTTTTCACAAAAAATTAACTTTTTCAACTTAACTTTTGAAAGTGTTTGCAAAAAAAAATGTATTCATATTTTTTAGCATTATAGGGCATTTGGCTCTTTTGCACCCTTCTCCCCCAGGAAAGCCCTGGATATTAAATAAGTATTCATTTCAAATTCCAATGAATAATCAGTAGCGCCGATCTTTACATTCAACTAGGTTAACTACCCAACTTTTAAAAGAGATTGGTGGTTGATGTCTACTATGTAAATTAAGCATCACAAGTAATTAAAATATTAATGTTTATGTAAATCTTTAGAAATTTGAAAACTTTATAATTTATTTAAGTTAAATGTAGTTGCTCAAATGTTAATACTAAATAGTAATTTCTATTCAATATAATTTGTCATAATAGTTGACAAAAATTTACTAGGCAAAATTTATGAATTTTACCTAGATATTAATAGCCCAATTAATTGTAATTTAATCAAATACAAGTCAGTTATTAGTTTTTAGTTTAAAAATATCACGTCCAAATATAAACTATTTTGACATAATGTTATAAAAAGAAAAATGAACTAAATGTATTAAGCCCATATTTAAAAAAAAAAAACAGTATACTCGTATAGACGGGAAAGCTATATGCCCCCATTTAACCCCCCTATATAAAAAAATTAAATAACATTTAAGTGTAGATTGTAAATATTTAAAGAAAGAATTTTTGCATCTCTAATTTCCGTCACTACATTTTTTATAGAAAAATTTAAAAAAGAATTTTGTTGAAAATAATTTATTTATGTTCATTTGTAAGATATTTAAATCAATTTAAAAGAAAAAAAATGATCGAATATTAAATAAATTATAGGTGGTACTCCGTAGTCTCCTTAGGATTTGGAGGAAATAAACTTATCAATTCAGATTTCTTTTTCATTCGAACAAAAAAATCTGTATTATTTATAAATGTTCATTTTCGAGATATTAAAATCATTTAGTAATAAACTTGATAAAGGCTGTTAAAAACTATATTTAATAAAAACCTATTTAAAACGCTTAAAATGTTTCAGAAGACCATTGTAAATTTTGAAATTATTGATATTTATACATGCAGTGTTTTATACAAAAACCAAACAACCTGTTATTAACAATATAAAATGAAGATTATTATGAACAATATTATTAAATTTACATTTTTATTGAATTATGTTTTATATTATCTTATTGAAATTTAAGTATAAATTAAATTGATTGTTTTTAGATAAAAAGGTATGAAAAATTAGAATCTATTGATGATAGAAGAAAATTAGCAAGAGACATCTACGATAATTACATAATGAAAGAACTTTTGTCACATACTCATGTAAATATAATTATATTTAATTATTGAAGGTGTAGAAATTATTTTTTTCATAAAATAATATTTTAGTTCGTGCTGTTTATTTTTAATCGAAGCTTAATATACTCAGTAAAATAACATAATTTAATATAATATTGAGTAACAAAAAAATACACTTAGCCTATGTTGGTTTCTATAATTTTGTGTTGTATAAATTATGTATATTCTATAATACAATTTTTATAATATTGTATTATACATTACATATTACACTTATTATGCAAAACTAAAATTTATTATATAAAAATATAAGTAGTATTTTATAAAATATAATTATGTATTTCAATAAATAAAAAAAATGTGTATGAAAACCACAAACCTCTTAATTATCTCTTAATTGTGTAATCATAAAAGTGCTAATTTTTTTTTATAAATTATGTATTTTATGTATATTATGCATGTATTGTTCCTCTAAAATATAAAATGCGATATTTTTACATCACCAATTGTATAATATTTCAATTATTTATAAATGTTATAATTTATAATCTATTCTTTGTATGTAGTGTTTCTATACATATCAAGTTAAATGTGTGAATTTTTATAAACCCTTAATAAATAAATTTTTTTTTTTTTTTAGAATTATCCTAAAGATGCAGTGGCTCATGTTCAGAAATACTTGATGAAAAATGAAGTACCAGTCAATTTATTTGAAGTAAGATTTTATGTATTATATTCAGTATTAATTATTATTTGAGTTCATTAAAAAAGAAAATAAATCTTTTTTTAAACATTTTAGTAATTATTGACACTTTTTTCTGTCATTAATTTAATTGTATTTTCATATGTATTTAATTTAAAATAAATTTACAACATTTTTTGATGAATGTATTTTATTAAATTATTTGTATATTTATTCTTTCAGCCTTATATTAAAGTGATTTTTAATCATCTTCGAGAAGAACCATTTAAGAAATTTTTAGAGAGGTTTGTTTGTTTATTACTAAATATAAACATGTGTAGAGATTCAAGTCAGAGGGTAGCAAAAACTTGTAGCCATGACCTTTCCTAAACAACCCTATCTTTTAGAATATTTAAAGATCTTGTAAGATCATTATCCTTAAAAATCCATTTTGTTAATTTAGTTTGAAAATTTTATAAAATAAAATATAGTAAATTAAATTGTTTTTTTTCTATCGAGTACCAATTGTAAACTGCCCAATTCATTAAAACTAAACTAGCAAAAGCATTCCTATACTTCTAAAAAACAGTTGAATTTATTCATTTTTTGTAAAGGTTTTTGATAATAACTTTATAACTACAATTTTTTTAGTTTCTATAATTCTATGTAAATAAATGGTATTAAAACCCCTTGAATCTCTACAAATAAATACACCATTACTAAAATATGTACAGAATAATATATTTTGCAATGTACTTTTTTAGTGACAAGTACACAAGATTTTGTCAGTGGAAAAATCTAGAACTAAATATTTCTGTAAATATTTATTTTAAATTATAAATAAGTTATACAATTCTAAATTCTGTTGCAATTTTATTTCAGTTAACAATGAATGACTTCAGTGTCCATCGTATTATAGGAAGAGGTGGTTTTGGTGAAGTGTATGGTTGTCGGAAAGCTGATACAGGCAAGATGTATGCAATGAAATGTCTTGATAAAAAAAGAATAAAAATGAAGCAAGGAGAAACATTAGCCTTAAATGAACGTATTATGTTATCATTAGTTAGTACTGGGGTAAGTCATTATTATATTAATAAATAATTTAATTTTAATAAAGTATATTATTACCTATAAATTATTTTAATTTTTATTAACAATTGCAATGGTAGTAAAATTGTGCAAAATAATGTAACATTAACATTAAACATTATGATATTTATGTTATACTCTTATTCCTTAAATAAGTATTAATGGTTTGAATTATTAGGTCGATTGTCCTTTTATTGTATGCATGACGTATGCATTTCATACGCCGGACAAACTTTGCTTTATATTAGACTTAATGCATGGTGGTGACTTGCATTATCACTTAGCACAACATGGTGTTTTTAATGAACTTGATATGAAATTCTATGCTGCTGAAGTTATACTTGGTAAATTGAAAATATTTTTTAAAAATTTTCAAATTATAGAGCTAATTCTAGGCATATATAACAGGTTTAGAACATATGCATAGAAGGTTCATTGTGTATCGAGATCTTAAACCTGCTAATATTTTACTAGATGAATATGGACATGTACGAATATCAGATTTAGGTTTAGCCTGTGATTTTTCTAAGAAAAAACCACATGCTAGTGTGTAAGTATTAATATATTGAAAAATATATACAAAAATTTTATTTTATGTAAACTTGATGATATTTAATTTAATCATTTTTATTGGATAGATTTCTGGGTAGTCAAATGTTTTGTTAAAATTATTGGTACCTAAATGTACTATATCTCTTTAGAAATAAAACTACTTACTTTACTTTTGTTCTGTCCTTGTTTCAACACGTAATTCAATGTTTAATACCGTAAAATAATACAAATATCATATTTACACAAACTTTAATATAATACAGACTATTTACTACTGAATTTTAATAAAATATTTTTTTTTAATTTTATTTATAATTTAAAAATAATTAATATTTTTAATAAAATATTTTTATTATTGTAAATTGTATAATAATATAATAATTGTAATAATTATATTTATTATTTAATATTTTAATATTATTGAGATATAATAATTATAGACCTAACGTATAACTGTTCTGTTAAAAAGAAATCAGTTAAAAATATAAACTAGATCAAAAGTTATTTAAGTTGTCAGTAAATGCTGAGCCACTTTGTATATTGCATATTTAATTTTTTTTGTTTTTAAGGTATATTTGATCATTTTTTTTATTATTTTTTCAAATAAAATTTTGAAAAGCTATTAAATTTTTATCATTTGGTCATAATAAGAAGTAAATTATATATTATACATTTTAGTAAAATTAAATTATTATAATTGAAATTTGTGTTTTTTATTTCAATAATATTCATTATCTAAAAACACAACAAAAAAATTAATTGCATATAATAAGAGAATATTTTAGGATTTTTAAGTGCATCCATATTTAGTGCTTTTTTAGTACTCTAAGTCCTCTTTCATGACATAATTTCTATTCATTAAAAATAGTACATTTTATTGGAAGAATTTCTGAAAATATACTACAGAATGTATTTAAGTGTTATAAATTTAATGTTTATTTTAAACTAGTAAATAACTTCATAATAATGTTAACTTTTAAAAAATGATTAGAGGAACACATGGATATATGGCTCCTGAAGTATTATCCAAAGGAACAGCTTATGATTCTAGTGCAGATTGGTTTTCTTTTGGTTGTATGTTGTATAAATTATTAAAAGGTCATAGTCCATTTCGACAGCATAAGACTAAAGATAAACATGAAATTGACCGCATGACCTTAACAATGGTATGTATCAACTTTCTTTTAAAAATTAAAGTTGTATTTTAATTTTGTTGTAAAATTAGTATGTATTTTCAATTATTTAACTTTTATAAGAAAAAGTTTGTGTTTCAGAATGTAGAACTTCCTGATTCTTTTTCTAAAAGTCTAAAAGATCTCTTAGAAGGTCTTTTACAACGTGATATAAATGAAAGAATTGGTTGTAGAGGAAAAGGGTAAATAAAATATTGTTGTAGTTTTCCTAGTATGCATGCTGATAATTTTATGTTTTCATAGGTCAGAAGAATTAAAGGAACACCAGTTTTTTGCGGGCTTAGATTGGCAACAAGTTTATTTACAAAAGTATACACCACCATTAATACCACCTAGAGGAGAAGTTAATGCTGCTGATGCTTTTGACATTGGTTCATTTGATGAAGAAGATACTAAAGGCATTAAGGTATAAATTTAAAAAAAATTAACTAAAAACATAAATAATTAAGTTTTTACTATAATATTTTAGTTAACTGATGCAGATCAAGACCTTTATAAAAATTTTTCAATTACTATTTCTGAAAGATGGCAAAATGAAGTAGCTGAAACTGTTTTTGACACAGTTAACACAGAAGCTGATAAAGCTGACCTTAAAAGAAAATCACGCCAAAAAAAATTTAACGAACATAATGAAGAAGGTGTGTACAAAATAATGTAGATAACAATTTTTGTTAAAATTTGATAATTACTATTTTAAATTTAGGGATTAGTTGATTAATGTGGTAGCTAATATTTTAACTTTTTGTACGTCTTTAATTTCATGAGTGCATGAATATTATTCTATGACTTCTTTCAACCAGTAGTCAAACTAGAAAATTTTTCAAAAATAAGGAAAGATTAGTGGATGTAATTATTTTTAAAAAAGATTTCTATAAATCTGAAAATAATTTAATTGCTTTAAGTTGAACCACTGTCCTAAGTTGGCTCATCTAACCATATGTATTGTTCTTATTAAATCCTATGTATATGATTAAATTTGCAATAAATATATCTAAAGAATGATATTTATTTTGAGTTTAATAGATGCTAAAAAATCTAGTTTTGGTTAATGCATTTAAAAAAAGTTATTTTAAATAAATAAAATTTAAATTAACCAATTAAAAATTGTTTTTATTGGGTGTTTTTTCGTTAAATATAAATAGTTAAGGGAATATTTAGTACTAAATATAATTCTTGAGTATATAATATTACCTTAATGAAATTAATAATATGAAAAAATTCTGATTATTTTGAAATCAAAAATTACTTTTCCAATATTGTAATTATTTTATTAGTAATCAAGTGGTTTATGATTAACCAATCACTCTATATATATATATATATATGTTTTTTTTAACTTTCAATACATAGTATTATTATAGCTCGACAATTATCTTTTATTATTGTTATTATTTTTAAAGAGCAATTTGTAGAAATAGTACAACTAGTTATGGGTCTTTATGAGAAGGGTACAAAGACTGACATAAAAATAACATTATCTTGTCCTTAAACTTATAATTATGAATATTATCTAATTAATTGCATAAAATTTAATTTTTGATAAAATATATTTGTATATATTAAATTATTATTATGTTTTTACTAGTAATATCAACTATTTATAATATACAACATTTTAGAATCTGATTGTATTCTTCATGGGTATATCAAAAAACTTGGTGGACCTTTTGCTTCAGCATGGCAAACTAGGTATGCAAAACTGTATCCTAATCGTTTGGAATTGCATTCTGATTCTGGTTCAGTTAAAACTGAAGTAATTACTTTGGATCAAGTATTAGAAGTAAGTCCTGAACTAGTTATTGTTAAAAATGAACAGTGTATTGTTCTACGTATGAAAGACGGAAAAGATGGAAAACTAGTTTTAACTAACAGTGTAAGTATACTAATATACAGCATAATTCATTTGTTATGAATCACCTAATTAACTGAATAATATTGAGAATTTTTTTTTGTTTTTTGTAGGTACATGATGTTTTTTTAATTTATCAAAGTATTTTTTATGTTCATCCCTTATATTTTATAAGTGTCAATAATGTTTTTTCATATGGTAACATACATAGTTAACTAGCTTTGTAATAGATAATGATATAATTAAAAAAAAGAATGACTAATAATAACTATTTTAAACTAGTATTTCTGGAGTTCTTAACATTTTTTCATCATGGCTAGAGATGAGTTGCTATTGTTGTTATTTTTATTATTAGTCATACTCTCCTTTCTGCCTAGTTATAAAAATATCAATAATTTCTGAAATAATAGTTCAGAAATTGTTATCAACCAATCATTCTTAATTATATCATTACCTATTAAATTGGTTAGTTTATTATGTATTTTACCATTAAAAAAAAAAAAAATCCTAATATTATTTTATATTTTGATTAAGTGATTCATGATAAATGAATAAATCCATATACAAATTTTATGATTTTAATAAAATACTTGACAATTTATTTACTTTTATAGGATGAAATTGGTTTAAAAGAGTGGGCATTGTCTCTTCGGTCAACTCATAAATCTACGCATGATCTGATTAAAAAATTGAAAAAACCCTTTGGTAAAATGTTTATTCAAGAAGAAGCGGATTCTTTGACATCCTCAACAAACACCAATGGCAATTAATTGAATTTGTGATGTATACACATTTTAATTAATTATAGAATCTCATGTAGCTTTCTACTCTTTCAGAATTTTGGTAATAAGTGGCTTTTTCTTCCTTTTTACCTTCATATCTATGGGTTTCAATTTTGTTTAATTTTTAATTTAAGGTTAGTGTGGCGCTACTTGATAAGACTGTGGTGTTCTTTCTTTTTATTGGGCTATAAAAAAAATATAGTTTGACATTTTTAAATAAGAGAATTGTTTTAAATACTATTTTTTATACATTTTATAATTTTTTAGAAAAATGTTTGTCTATGTTTATTCTTTAAAAAGTTCAGTTTCACATACTTAAAAAATAGGTAATCTTAATCTATAAAATATAAATTGATTTTACAGATGAAAACATTTAGAGATTAGATATCTCTGCCTTGCTATAAAAACCCATGTACATTATTCCTTTCAGTAATTTATTTCACATAATTTTATACTGAGATCACTGCACATTATATAATAATTATAATTTAAATATTTTTTATAATCATTGAAATTATTGTACCGTTTCATAGCTGTAAATTTAACCAAAATAAAAATTTTGTTATTTAATAAACGTTTAGTTATTAAGTTATTATACATTTACTGAAAATTTAGTAAATAATAATGTCTAAGATTAATTATGACAAATTAATTTTCTAGTTATTAATCATCAAATATCTTAAAACTTAAAAATTTATCTTTGATTTTTTTCTTAAAGTTTATTCACAAGTTTAACTACAATTTTTTTTTTTATTTTAAATGTGCAAAAGAACTTCAAGTTTTTATGTTATATAACTTAGAAAACTTGAGCTAAAAAATTAATTAACGTTTAAATGGTTTTATACAACCTTAAGAATATAAACTATTTTTCGTAATAAGACCTAAAACATATTTTTTTAAATTAAACATTCAAAAAAATACTCTACAATTGACTTAACTTGAAATTTATAATAACTTATCTTTAAGTTTATTTACAGTACTTGATTTAAAATTATAATTTAAACATTTTACACAATTAATATAATTTTAGGACACTGCATATACATAAAATTAGTTAATAATTTTTGTTTTTTTTTTTTCATATTTTTAGGCTATGAACTTAAATTTTTTTAATGAGTATTTATTAATTTTTGAAAAATATTCGTCTATGGGGCAATATTATTAACTTGTTAAAAGACTGATCGTTTCTTTCTTAACGTTTGTAAAATATAATATACTTTCATTAAAATTTTATGATCTCTGTCAAATTACGTTTAAAAAAACAAAGTTATGTAAATGATTGTAAGACATTACATTCAATTTAATCTTTAAATTATTTAGTACATTCTATAAATCCTTTGGTTATAATTTATATGTTTTTAATGTCTAACAACATTCAACTAAAGTTTTTTCATTAAATAATGACAATCAAAACATCAATATCTATTAAAAAATCGTGGCCAGCGAGAAATTTGTAAATATTAATACTACATATGTATTATATTAGTTTTCATGTAAATGCAGTTGATGCTTAAAGATAATTATAAATATTTTAGTTAAACATAGTCTAGAATAATTTACTGTATTATTAAGTTGAATAAATTGTGAATGCTTAGTTATATTGCAATCCAAGTTGATATGTATAAGATTAGTTAACCCACATTTATGTTTTATGTAATAAGTTTTGTTGCTTTGTCTACTAAAACCAAACTTCTTTTATTATACTTTTTAAATGATTTTTATTTTAATTAAAACTGTAAATTTAATTTTTTGTACTAAAAACAATATGCAATAATCAACATTTTTATTTTGTAAAATGTGTAAATGACAAATATTTTGATAAATAAATGGTATATTTCATAAAATGTATAACAAAACAATATCATAAAATATTTGTAAAACCTGTATTTAATAGCTGTTATTAACCAGCAATTTTATATTAAACTTACAAGAGGTGATTTATTGACCATTTATATATGTATTGGTTTCATATAATGTAGTGTTACATAAGTGAAATTGCTTTTTTATATTAACTTTGCAAATAGTTACCTTACTTGATCTTTAAAATTTGCTTTTAAATAAATGTTTGGTTTTTTTTTTTACATTTTTGCCCTTATACAGATTTTCCAACATAGTATTATTTTAATTGTTAATTCACCAAAAGTTTTTATATATTTTTGTTACATTATTATTGTATTATTACTTTAATTATATTAATAATTATTTTTTGTTATGAAAAAAATTGTATTATGTTGTATTTTACTATAACCTAGTCCTTGAGTATGTTAAAAATAAAACTAATTTAATTTACTGTGCATCCCGGAATATAAGTAAATAACACCTTGTATAATATCTATAATATAAGTGAACATTATTGAATTAAGAATAATTTATATACATTTGTGTGTATATATATACATATATATTTATATATAAATATTATTTAGATATATTAGGTGATTGCTTTTGTATTATTTATTGAAAATTGTATGAGATATAGTTTAGCATATAAATATATTGTTTTATCCAATTTTTATGTATAATTATTGTTTAGATTATAAATCAAAAACAATAAAATGTAATTAGTGTCTTGCAATAAATCCCTTTAAGTTTACACTTTATTGCTATTATTATGGTGTTTTTTATCTAAACTAGCTTACATACATGAAAAATAGATAGGATTTTTAACTGCAATTTTTATATATTGTTGTATCTTTATGTTTTGGATACATTACAAAAGTCTGCATCTTCTTCTTTTTCCTTGCTTTAATCCCAACTACTTAAGGTCAGCCAATTACAAAAGTCTGCATATTTAAAAAAAAATACTTTGACTGCATAACATTTCCGATTATTAGTATTTTGAAGAATTGCCAAGTAAATTTTGTTAGTTTGGAAGTGATTATGTTAAGAAATGAGATATTTTGTTTGTGTTGAAAATTGTTTTATTATAATTATTTTTAAACAATGAATTATTAAAAACAATCATAAATTAATTCCATATGTCAGTTGTTTTATTTATTTATATATGAATTTTAAGATAAAATATAGATCATAAATGATTTAAATAATTGAAAAATATCATTGACCGAAATAGAAAAATGTTCTGTAGAAGTAACTTATTTTCTCTGTCCAATTATTTATATGGTAAAACGGGTAATTTTTTAATATCTTAAAAAAAACGTTATATTTGATATTTTTCTTCGTCTTTATCCCAACTAATTGGGGTCGGCTATCGTTATTTCAAACTTCCATTTATTATGATCTCCCACATCAGCCGTCCTCATCGTATTTAATAATATCCCTCCGTCTGTTTTTTAGTCTTCCTTCAACATTGAATTCTATAACTGTTCTTACAGCATCTTATTCCTCTATCCTCATAATATGACCAAACCATCTAAGTCTCTTCTTATACACGATTGAAACTACACCTATACATTCCTTATATTTTCGTCTTACTCTGTTCTTTTTTCTTTTTAAACACCCAACATTGAACCATACATTATAGCTGGTCTCTCTATAGTCCTATAAAACTTACTTTTCAGCCTCATTGGAATTCTCTTATCGCATAACAAATCAAACGCTTTTCTCCACACTTCGTCCTGTGTCTTACATCCTCGTCAATACCACTATTATTTTTCACAATAGATCCTAAATACTTAAAACTTTCCACCTCTTAACACGTCTTTGTTTATTGTCACTGATTTCTTTATTTCACCTACCTCGTGTTTTCCCTTGTCAAACTCATGCTCTATTATATTCTGTCTTACCCCTACTTATTCTTGATCCCTTTCCTTCTAGAGCTGATCTTCTTACGTTTAGCCTTTGATTAATTTCCTCTTATAAACACTATATCGTCAACGAACAATGTCCTTCAAGGTATCTCTTCTTGTATTTCTTTAATAATTTCATCCATCACTCAAGAAAATAAGTTAGGGCTTAAAGCAGAACCTTGGTTCACTCTTACTCTTACCCTAAAATTTTCTGTTACTCCGCTCACAATTTTTACCCTGATACAAGTGCCATCATATATATCCTTTGTTATATTAATGTACCTTTTTGGGACCCTTTTTCTCATTAATACTTTGAAACATCTCTCGCTTTACTATCATACGCTTTCTCCAAATTTATAAATAACATAGACGGATTTTTCTCCCTTTCCCTATACTTTTCTATTAGTTTTCTCACACAAAAACTGGTTTGTTTTATTATTATTTATAAATATTAAAAATAACTGAATATTTTTTGTAATGTTATTAATATGAAGTTTCAGAATTTTACATCGAGGCCCGCGGAATTCCACCTTTTCTTAAACGTGGTTATGCTTCTAGGCAAGACATTTCAAGTATTGATAAATAAATAGTTAATATTATTTTTGAGGTAGGATGTTTTTTTAGTCATGTTCTTATTTAAATAACGAACATCATCAAGGTTATCTTAAAATCAAGGCAAGTAGACTCGCGCATAGGGCTTTTATGGGGAAAATATTACATTATTTAAGCACCGCTAATTATTAGGGTACCCTTGAATATCAATATATAATTAAGTGCAGATACTTTTTTTTATAGTTTAGTAGTAGTACACAAAAATAGGCTAAAAAAATTATTAAATTACAAAGTAAAATGATTTAAATTTGTAGTTGAAACCAATCATATCAGAGTTGATTCGTCAATAAATACTTTGAAAACATTAGAAATTAATGATTTTAATAGTTTATATGAAGAATATGGAATAAGTAACTATTTAATTGATAAATTATAATTTTTTTTTTCAATTTTTGAGGGTAATATCTTTAACGAGATACGAATTGAAAAAATTTGACGTATCATTGAAAAAAGTAGGTCAAGTTAGACCAGAGAAAATAAATGATTGTCACAAAAAAATATCTTCTCAGCTTTGCATCGAAGCTAAAACCTAAAATATAGTAAATAATTTTAATATGAATAAAAAATTTCTCCTCGCGAGGGGCGACTACAGTGATGGGATCCTTGATCTTTATTGAAGTTATTGAATCTAAATTTATTTTAAATTAAAAAGAATTAAGAAAAAAATTCCTTGCCATACGCTGGTTGGAACCTTGTACCCCAAGCGCGTAAGACATAAGTTTTAGCGACTCGGCAACCATACGTCGCTTCCGTTAACTGAAAAATATAGCAATTTAAGCTAGTTTAAATTTCTAAGTTATTTTTCTCGACTTAAAAATCAAAGTATATTACATAAGCTTTAATTTAAGATATGCATAAAAGTGTCAGTCTTTCCGAAACATTTTCAAAAATTAAGTTGAAAAAGTTTTACTTTCTATACGCATTTTTAAAGATGTATATAAAGTATTTACCATTAAAAATAGAATTAACTCATTAATTTTTTAAAGTCATAGTGACGTAATGTTATGAAATATAATATCAAGAATTTATTCACAAAAATAGTATATTTTTGCATACGGTAGTCATTTTTACCATGAAGTTAAGTCCAGAGTTAAAATTATTTTTTTTTTAAATTAAAGTATATCACATAAGCTTAAATTTAAGGTATATATAAAAGTATAAGTCTTTCCGGAACATTTTCAAAAGTTAATTTTTTGGGAAAAAGTTGCCATTTTGTATCTCTTCCTGTGGGCTGGTAAACGTTCAAATGTTAACAAAAATATATCAAATGATAGGTAGGTACCTAAGGTATCTATCAAAAAAATTTAATTAAACTAAATAAAATCATTATGATTTGGTAATTTTTAAAAAAGTTATGGCAATTTTAAGTAAAAATATGTCAAAAGTTAGAGATTTTTAAATTTGTAATTTTTTGAGGGATTTCCCCAGTTTATGGCAAACGAGGGATTTTTTTTCAATTTTTGAGAGTAATGTCTTCAACTGGACACAATTTGTAATCTTTTAAAGTATTGTTCATCAAAATTAGTCCAGCGAGACCTGAGAAAAAGTAGTAACAGACACAAAAAAAATAAATAAACACATCATAGTAAAATTAATATCTTCTCAGCTTCGTATCGAAGCTATAATACATAACTCACAAATCTACCATAAGTGGTATATATTCCCATGTAGTATTACAATTTTCAGATAATAAAAATTCATATCAGTGAAACAAGATTGGTTTAAAATTTTATTGTTTTGAAAATAAAGGCAAATTTTTTTTTATAATTAGGTTATTTTTATACTGAAACAGTAACAGTACAAAAGATATAAAATTATATTACATCATATATACCGCTTTTTATACTTAATATGTTTAATGACTAAAAGATGAATGTAGTTATAAATTTTTTTTAAAACAATAAGCATTTGAAAATTTAATAATAAAATTAATAGCATAAATTACTTTATTTGATGATTATATTTTTAAAAATATTACTTTTACAATTTTTTATGTACATATGATAATTCAATAAAATATTACTTTTCTTCACACCATTCATTTTCTTTTCTTACTTGATCTTCTTCGGCAGCTGTAAAGTCGTTTTTTATGTTAAAAGTTTTTCTGATTTCCTCTGGCGTTTTTCCTTTTATCATATTAGCAACAGTTTTACAAGTGACATCTAGTAAACCTTTAATATCTAAATAATTAGCAGCCAAGATAAGTTCAAAAAGTGTACCCTGATCAACTTTTAAAAAATCAGCATCCCAACTAGAAATATCGTCAGTTCGTTTTTCCCGACCTTCATCATCTTCAGCTGGCGGTGGATCGTCTTTGTGGTAAGTTGCCCATTGAATGACTTTTTTAAGTATTCCAGCATTTACATTGGGTAACGGTACAATTTCTTCATCCTCTTCTTCCAAACCCAAATCTTCAACCATAGTTTTAATAGTTACCGAGGCTTTAGCAATTTCGAAATCTACCTGAAATACTTCACCATCAGAACTCTGCAACTTGATCATAGGCATTTTAGTAGTAATCGATTGGTTTATTAAAATATAAATATATGATTTTTCGCTGATCAGTTAATTATAGCAATGTTATCTATTTGGATAAAGTAAATAAATTTTACAATGAAATGAGCCAAATAAGTACAAACAACCTATCAATTGTATAAATTCTCATATAAATCGTGATTAATGTACACTCATAATATGGACAGAAACAATTAATAAAACTTATGATATTGGAATATCACAACAACACTTCAGTTCACATTCTTCAATCCCAATGGCACACTGTCATTTTATTGTTCCATGACGTAGTTTATCATTTTTTATTATGCTCATAGTGTAATAAAACTCCATAAGTAAAACAACAACATTTATAGTTTTACTGATAACTCAATGGACTTAATAATAATATTTTTTAACACAATATTTTAAACGCTTATTAGTGAAAGTTGCTTGTTTATTTTCGATAGATTTTTACTTATACAAATTTTTGAAATTGGTAATTCCTTAAATAATGTTGATTACAAAGTTTTTTCTCTGGATTAGAAATATTGAATAGAATTTTTATTCTCAGGTGGATTTTTCAATTAAAAAAAAAAAATGTATACATAGTTTACTGAATGATTAATTGTTTATTACTTGTGACCTTCAGGACATACTATATTCTATTGAACTATTCGTTTTGTAGTTAACTTATCTAATTTTTAAACCAACTTTAATATTGTATAGTGGTACAATAATGATCATTAATTATTTAAATAATCTATTAATGGAATCCAAGAAATTCTATTCTTGAATTACGTTTTAAATTTGAAAGTGAATGGTCATTTTTTCGCAAAAAAACTCATTCTTTATTAAACGTAGGAAAAAAATCTTCTCTGAAATAATTTCATTACAATACATAATGTCATTTTCTGAACAAGGTAAAAACCAATAAAAGACTATTATACACAATATCACATAAATTACTTTTTTTTTATTTAATTTAAAGAAATTTTTATTTTTAAATAATTAAAAAGTACTTAAGTGAAATTCTTATAAATTCACAAATTTTTGTTTAAGTATTATTGGAAGATGATAGCATTGTTGCTAATACTATACCCAATGATACAGAAGTAGCTATAAGATATATCAAATCATTGTTACCTGTTGCAGTAAAACTTAATTTAATGCATCCTCCTGTTATATATGTTCATCAACTATATGATATCATAAACAACAAAGCTTTAGTCAAAAAACATTTGGTAAAAAATAACATACAACATGTAACTTTAGGGTTTTGATAGATAGAATTTTTAGGATGAATTACAAAATAAATGCAAAATACAACAATTTACTGTAGATACCTCTGATTACCCATCAGCTATTTTACTCTATGAAGACTTTGTTGCATACACATTTAAATTATATCCAGAGAATAAATGTGTCAAGAAATTCCTTAACAATATTTTACCAACACTAAAATCATTTGGAGTTGAAAAAAATGTATTACGACAAAAACTGAAACTACAACATCATGAAATTACGTAAATATTGTCATAAAATTTTTATAAAGTATTCAATATAAATAAAACTAACAACTGATAAAATATTCTTACATGTAAAACTTTTAAGTTAATTACAAAAATTATATGCAATCCTCTTTCATAGTTCCTGACCATACAACATTTTAAAGAAATATGATGTCTAAAGCAAAAGAGATCAAAGCAATACTTAGAATGAATCCAAAATTGAAATTAAAAAATATCTTTATTTTGAAATGTAGTTCTACTTTAAAGTAGTTTGCTTAACCTATTACAAAAAAATATTATTTTTCAATGGCTTTTACTTTAGATGCTTCAATTATTTTTATTAATATAATTTAAACTTTATCTTGTCAAATAACCATTTTTTTTTTTTTTATTAATTTTATTTAAATAATTTCGTTTAACTTGCTTTACTTTTTGACAGTGAATTAATCAACTGTGGTTTACTTTTAATTCGAAATCAGGAGTCTTATTGGATATCATTTCCTTCTTCGGGAAAATTTATTAAAAAGTTTAATGAAGGTAGAAAATATATCATTCAGATAATAAAGCGTCAAAAATTCCAAGAAATATTAGAAAAAGTATGCAACTAATTTTTTTTAATAAATAATTTTAAAAGTACTGGATTTATTATTTCTTGTGAAAATTAAAAAATATGCAAGAGTATTATTTTATTAATGAAAATTATACTAAATGTTGTAACTCAATAAATTAAAAACAAAATGTTTAATGTTTAAGGTATTCAATCTTTTTTAATTTCAATTTTTTAAACATTATCAATTTTTTAAAGAATATTATCCTTATTTTCATAATTATTGTAATGCTAATAAATTTACTTTAAATAATTATGATAGAACTTAGAAGTGCGTTGTTCGAAAGTGCCCAAATTAAGAGATTTTGGATACAAGTATTTTTTACATGATATAAAAGGATCTGAAGATGTCAAAACGTAATATTATATATTAAGATCTTAATAGATAATAACTAGTTCTGTTTTATAATTTCTTTTATTTTTAGGATCAATACAACATCAGGACATCTTTTAAGAATTTCATAACAACTTTGTATTTCCTAAACAAATTTTGTTTTTATTATGTACAATGTACTTTGAATATAAGTATTTAATAAAAAATGTTATTATGGTTAAATTTTTTGTAATTAAAAAAAATTATACATACAATAATAAAATTATTAAAAGGTAATAATTGTTCCTACTCTATCTCTTGGAATAAGTCTAAGATCTGTTCCATGCTTGAGGAAAACATTTCCAGCGGTTTGCTGTGGATTTATACCAATACCGTCATCGGTAATAATTGCAGATGTTTCAGCGGGTACTTTAAATTCTTCCGCTGCATATTTTACGACTGCCGTAAATGGTGCTTCTTCGGGTACTCTTAAAATTTTGAAAGGTAATTTTGGATCTGATGTCAAAGTGATTTTAAATGATACTTTTTGTTTAACTTCTTGCATTGTTGATGTTAATAATTTTAAGTCAAACTATATAGATCATCTATTATAAGAATTAGTGAGGTAAATTAAACAAGTGACAAATGTCGAACGTTCACACTGCATGTATACTATGAGTTTTATCAACCTTTTCTAACTGATGATGTGGTTGTTTTAATCTAATGGTACCCAAATCTGTTATCACGCATCATAAAGTTTTGATGATACGTGTTAACTGTTTCAGAATTGTAAGTTTTTAACACCTGGTGTTCAAAATAACAAAACTTTTGTTTAAGTACCGTTTTATTTTATTATTTTGAGATGTTATTGTAATATTTCAATAGCTTAGTACCCTATTGAATACATTATTCTCATAATGTGTAGATTGATTTAAATATCATCATGAATATAAAATTTTTTAGTTTAATAATAAATAGTACTACTGTAGCTCTCATTAATTTGTATTTTAATAGTATAAGTACAATAATTCAATTAAAAAAAAAATGAGAGCCTACATCATGACTCTCGCCAATAGCATTATTGGTGTTAGTATATTAGCTATGCCGTTTTGCTATAAAGAAGTAAATATTATTTTTATAGATTTAATTAAAATTAATAATTTTAAAATACTATTTATAATTTCTATTTTTTAGTGTGGAATACTATTGTCAACTATACTATTGATTTTAAGTAATTTTATGTCAAGAGCATCTTGTCACTTTCTTTTAACCTCTGCTGTTAGATCAAGAACAAGGGATTTTGAATTTCTAGGTAAACTTAAACAAAAAATTAAATTATAAAATTACAACACTATTCTTTGTTTTAGCATTTCATTTGTTTGGTTCATTAGGCAAAATTTCTGTTGAAATTAGTATAATTATGTTTCTTATGGGTACTTGCATTGCTTTTTTTGTTGTAATGGGAGATTTAGGTCCACAAATTATTGGTGAAATGTTTAATATGACAAATACAATAGCACTTAGACCTAGTATAATGATCGGTAAGTTTAAAAAGGATATAACATATAAATGTTCCCAAATAAATATTTATGTATGTTTTCTAAGTGAACATATGAGTATTATTTTTATAATTGATTCAATTTTTTTTTTTTAACTAGTCATTTCGATGAAATTTGTGGAAAATAAATTTTGAAATTCATAATTTTTTTTTTTTGCATGTTTGTTTTTCATAGGTTTTAATGAACAACCTCAATAATTTTGTCATGAAAAATTATATTTAAATACAATGTCAAAACCTTTGATAAATCTTTTTCGCAAAAAAAAAAAAAATGATATAGGAGCTTTTAACATAAAATGATTCAATTTATAGATACTAGAATTGCAATTATAATATTTAATAACATATTTTTAAGGTATTGCTGTTTTTATAGTTTTACCATTGGGATTATTAAAAAATGTTAATAGCTTAAATTCAATATGTACGGCTGCAGTAATATTTTATGCTTGCTTGGTATTTAAGGTAAAGTAACACCTTAAATTTATAATAAAAATAAATAATATATCAAATTTAGTAATCTATCTTCAATAGATGAATTATTTATTTTTAGATATTTATAGAAGCATTTGATAAAATTTTCTCATCAGTTTGGCTTTCAGAATTATATTTTTGGAGACCTTCAGGTCTTTTACAATGTTTACCAATATTTTCAATGTCATTATTTTGCCAGACGTAAGTTACATTAACTACACAAATATTTTTAATTTTATAAATCAAACTTGAATATATTTATGTTTTAAAATGTTCTTACAGACAATTATTTGACATATTTGAATCAATATCACATGAATCACTTGATAAATTGAATAGTATAGTTCGTTCTTCTATGAATATGTGTACATGTGTTTACATAAGTGTAGGAATTCTTGGTTACATAGCTTATCATGATCAATCATCACTTAGTGGTAAGTTTCAATTGTTTTTTTTTAACTATAGTTAATAGTTTGAAGTAAAAAATTTGAAGATTCTGACCAAGTATGATAACTTTTATCTCTTCCATAAGTTTTTGACTTTCCACAAAATATACAAGTCCATCGTACTAACTTTTTAGGTTTTTTAATCAAACGACATTTTGCTGATTTCCCGGGAATAAGCATAGTATTACATCCTTTGCAAATATTTCTTTTAATGGTTGGATCTATTTTTAATAAACTTTTTTGAGCCATTCCTTTTAATATAAAATTATATGCAGATGATAATCCTGGACATTCAGTAGATATTGCAGTACTCAACTGATATAAATAATTTATACGGTTTTGATTGATTTCTGAATTAAAATCTTGTTTTTTATTTTCGACCTTCTCCATTTAACTCTCTTGCTTAAAATTTTAATATTCTTTCTTTCTATAAAATTGATAATTTTTTTTTTATTATTAAAAATTATATATAGAATTAAAATTTTAATGTCATCAAAATTTCATGATAAAACATATTTGAATAAATTAAGGAGACTAAATTGACTAAAATTAAAATCTTTGTAGAAAAATTTCTTTTAAATTTTACTCAAAAATGTTTTTTGTAAGAATTTTAAAAAGATTTGTCTTCTATAAGTAGTAATTATAATATATTGTATTTCTACAATTAAAGTAGATTATTGATACTATATAAATATTTCACAAGTTATCCTTCTATTAATTAAATTTCTCTATCATTCTTCTATCTTACCTTTTAGTCTTCTAATAATATAAAAATTTTTTAATGAAATATATAACAGTTAAAATTATCCAATTATGTAATAAATTGATGATTCTGTAACTTAC